GAAAGCGCGAGTTTCGTTGAGTGTCAGCTTGGCCCCTCGTCCCCTTTTCGAATTGAGAAAAATATTTTCAAATGCTTAGGAACTGATTGTTTCTTTCCTTTTTTTGTGAGGGGTCTGTTTTCAAGAGATGAGGTGTTCATGAAAGCAGTGTTCAGCTCATCTTTATATGCTTGCAAATTCACGTTGCAATGACATGAATCACATCTGCGATCGCTGGAGCGAGCCATTCTTAGCTGTCAGCGGTCTACTCTTCTCCATCTTAGGTGTCAGCCTGGTTCGGATCGGTAGTGCTCTTGTTTTGATTCCGAAGATTGTGAGTTCATGTCAGGACTTTGAGCTCAAAGACTGATGCTCCAGTGCATTACAAAGTAGTTACGATTCATCAATGGGGGAAAATGTATTTCGTTGTGAGTCTTCCTCTACTCTCCAAGCCACTGGTATCGTGGGCTCCTCCCTACCCACAGCGTAAATCTTCAAACCAGAAAACGGAGCCTGTTGTGCTTGATTGGCTCTGTAACCTGAAGGAGAGATTAGAGGTGTAAAGCGAGCTGATGCTTTCTGATTTTTGCATTTAATAAGATGATCCTCGCGAGGGCTGGGTAATTAATCTGCTGTCCAAGGACTTTCAATATAGCTAAAAGCATTGCTCCCAGCCTTCGATCAGTCTGACACTGAAGTGTATCTGTCATTTTAAAGCTGCTTGTGTAATATGCGTTGACTGAGCCCAGTATGAAAACTCTTCAACGCTGGAAATGACTGCTTTTAATTGCTGAATTTTCTTTTAACTTTGTAACTCATAAATTGAATTTTAATGTGAATTAAGCTACTCACTGTTCTCTGGACCGATGTGACAGTCTGGGGCTGGCCTCAGGTGGGATGCTGGTTCTGAGCAAGTTTTGGGAGGGGTTAAAGTGAGCTTCCTCGTGCCTTTATAGGAGCTCACCCCCTCACCTTGCAGGACATCATAAAAGGTCAAACCCGCAGAAAAATAATGGTGACGTGCATGAGTCCAACTGTAACTTACTGATTGATGAACGTACTGTTCCAAATGCCCCAATGCTTGTGTACCACACTCGACTCTCACTGACCCCTTAGACCAGCAAGAGACTTGGGTTCGATTCTCGGCAGGCAGAAACATTGGGCAGGTTCCCATACTCCACACGCCTCTGTTTACCCAGCAGTAAGCAGGAACCCAGTTGTTAGTCGATTGACGGATAGCTTTTTTTAAATTGGTCACTCAATCCACGACTGTTTGTGGGACACTGCTGTGCACAATTAGGTACTGCGTGTTGTCCACAAAATATGCAGCCAATTCACTTTACAGTATATTCTGTGTAGCGCTTTGAGACGTCTCTAAGACATGATAAGGCACTATATCAAATGCAAGGATTATTATTATTATCTCTTGACCAAATGAAGGCTATACTGGGGGAGTGCTGCAGAATCAAATGCCAGGATTATTATTTTTATAAAAGACATCAACAAAATTGTTAACAATTATCAAGTGAGGTGCTATATCACATACAAATATTATAGGGCAAATTTCACCACAAAATATGAAGTCAATTCACTTTACAGTATATTCTGTGATGCCCTTTGAGATGTTTAGAAGATGTGATAAGGCGCTGTATCAAACGCAAGGATTATTATTATAATATAACAGTTGGCGGATGAGAAGCAGCCGTGGCCGAATCTTTCTCGGGGAAGCCACCATGGAGTGTGTACACAGCATGTAAAGTGCTGGAACAACATGTAAATGTGGAGAACATGTCAAGTTTTCATTAATATTCATCAATGTGCTCATTAACATAGTTCTCATGTGTTGAAGATGAAATCTATTCCCAAAAGTGGTTTGAATATAATAAAAAAAGGCATTGCCGGTTGCATCAAAACAAAATTGAAACTTGTGGGCTTTATCTTGTCTTTTCTCTGTCAGGTTTCTGCCTTTTGCCTTCCTTATAATATATGGAGTGCCACCAGTGGCCATCAATGCTTGAGGCTAGATGGAGAATTGTTCCTTAAATGCGAGGGGACATCACAGCTTAGCCCTATTCTGCTGTCACCCGATGTTCACAGCCATGAAGTGTTCAGATGCAATTTAACAGTCCTGCAGCTTCCTTGGCTGACATTAACTAACGCAGCACGAACCAGAGGGCAAATCCACCCCTTGCTGATCTGTGAGGCACATTGGCTACATCCCTGATCAAAGGGGTACCTTCCTCAAGCCTCAAATAGTACTCCTGAGCACAGAGGCTTTGAAGTTCGGCATGTGGTGACTGCTGTGGCCGTCATTCCCACCAGATACACACGATAAGGGAAGCAGAAGGCAACAGACTGGTTGGGCCAAATTATTTCTCTCTGTGCCGTATTACTCTGTCTCTATTCTTCCCCCCTCACCCTGTCAGAACTCTTAGGAAGGTCTTCATTCAGCACCTTGGGATGTCCTTCTGACGTGAAAGACGCTATATAAATCTAACTTCTTGTCGTTGCTGTTATTGATGCAAACTCTCTGACATTAGGGAAAGCCATGCCTGAATGTCTGCAGTCCATTAGTTTAACGTCATTCAAACTTTTACAGATTATTAACCATAATATTACTTTGATGTTCACACTGTTGGGGGATACCACACCTTCCCCAAATTCCCCGTTTTTTTTCAATTGCTGCTTTAAATTGACTGTTAAAATGCCTCAATCCGAAACCTGAAATAACAGAAATGCAAACCTTGTAATTAGTTTGTCAGATAAATTAGATGAAAGACATTGCTGCAGGAACAGTGGCTTTCACACACTCCTGCATCCGCTTCGCAATGGATTGGAAGCATTTCCGTACACAGAAACCGCTGGACTGAGGGTTAAATTCGCGGCACCTCTGCTGTTTTTGTGAAGCTAACCTTGATGCAAGTGTTTGCTCAATGTGTGGAGAAATCAAACTGGATATTTGCACGGCAAGTTGGAAAGCAACTCCCAGCGTGCAAAGACCAGAGCGTTATTTATTTAAATAATTTAGTTAGGCCATTACTGCTGAATCCTCTGGGGTTCAACACAGCACTTGAGCATCGTGCTTATAATTTCCGAGTTTGCCTTTTCAATTATTAAGAGATTTCTATTAATAAGGAACACTTTTCTTCCACTTCATAAGCGCTGGTCATTTGTTACTGAAGGTCGTTGTGGGACTGGAAGATTGGTGGTGCTTGTCCCGGTGGAGTGAGATTTGCAATTGCAACCAATCATTTCTCCCAAACCTCTTGTCAGAATTCACGTCAATCTTGGAAGGGTGTTCCTGATTCAACACATCGCAGGATTTTTCCATTACTGCTATAATTCTTGCAATAATAATCCTTGCAATTGATGTAGCGCTTTTCAAGTCTTCTCGATGTCTCAAAGCGCTTCACAGAATATGCTGTAAAGTGAATTGACTGTATATTTGTGGGCGAAATGCGGCAGTCAATTGCACACAGCAGTGTCCCACAAACAGTTGTGGATTGAAAATGACCAATTTAGTATTGTTTTGCTTTGGAGGGATTATTATGAGGAGTGTGGAGTAAGGAAACTTGCCCAAGGTTTTGCTCTGCCTGGAATTGAACCCAGGTGGATCGCTTGCAAGGCGAGTGCTCTAACCACTGAGCTACAGGACTCCACTACTGCTGTGCTTACCTGGCAGTGTTGCTGAGATGGGGACTGATTTCAGTAGCGATGTGTAATATGAACAAGGGACCGATTGCCACCTCAGTAGGAAGCTCTGCTGGGCACCATGAATCCTCCTGAGGTTGAAGTCCTGCGAGTGGACCTGGCTGTGTTTCAGCTTACTGCTGCTGGTATTCGGAATCACAGAAGCAGAAATCTACAGGGTAGAAGGAGGCTAATGGGCCTATCGAGTCCGCACTGGCCCACAGCCCAAGGAGATCAATTAAATCCCAGCTCCCCCGTTATTTCCACACTGCTTTAAGCCCCCCCTATTTCTATGCCTGGCTTTTTCTCTGTGCATACTGTTGAGCATGGTGATGGGGTTCCGCATGTGTCAGACACCTGGTTGACCAAAAAAAAAGCATTTCCCTCTTGAAAGCTACAACGATTGCCACCTTCACCACACTACTCAGCAGGAAATTTCACATCCCAACAACTCTCTAAGACAAAAAAGTCCTCCTGAATTCTCTTTGCTGTTCTTATGGCGATCATAACAATGTTCTCAAGCCTTTGACTCCCTATTAATGGATATAACTTCTCCCTATTTACCCTTCATGATTTTGTACACCTTCATCAGGTTTCCCTTCAACCTTTTGTGTTCCAATGAAAACAGACCCAACTTCTTTGATCTCTGCTCATAACTGTAACCCTTCATCCCCAGAATCATTTTCATAAACCTACTTTGCGTCCACTCTTAAGACCTTGACATCTTTCCTGAAGTGAGGTACTAAAACTTGACGCAGTACAAACTTATATAATATATAATAATAATAATCCTTTAATTTGGTATAACGCCTTATTAGTTTGAGACGTCTCAAAGTGCTTCACAGAACATACTGTAACATGAATTGACTGTATGGTTTGTTAGCGAAACGCGGCAGCCAATTGCACACAGCAATATCCCACAAACAGTCGTGGATTGAGTGACCAAATTATTTTTTTTGAAGGAATTATTACCCCCAGAAAACTTAGAATTATTGCTTTGCTTTTGTACTTTATGCCTCTGAATATAAAACTCAACATGCTATGAGAATGTCCCCATGGTCTTGTATTTTGCCAACATTCCTAGTCCACGCTCACACATCGATATTGACCATTTGCAATGAGATCCTGTGAATATATTCCAAAACCATTCAGATGTTCTGGAATAGGGAGATGGTGTGGGCCAGGAGGAGAGATAAGAGGGGGAAGTTCATAACCTTTCATATTTTGCAAATACAAGATTCAGTTGGACCTTGATTCCCACCGTTATGAAAGCTTCTCAAGAACCATTTGTTGCTTTCTGACGATGATGTGAACTCACTCTCTCATTCCAGCCTTTACAAATCGATGACAATTTTTGTGGACAAGATTTCAATCAGCCACTGGGCGGGACAAAGCTGGTCGAGGGGATGCTGTTGTTTGTGGACAAGGAGGACGGGATGACCTCCATTGCAGCCTATGACTACAGGGGTAACACAGTGGTCTTCTTCGGGACCCGCAATGGGAAGATGAAAAAGGTAAGATGCTTTTGATTGTAATTGATGTGTAAAGTGTCTGTGTGGCCATTACTATTACCAAAGCATATTGTGTGAATTGGCTTTGTGTTGCGAGAGGTGGGGGAAAGGAGAGAATTGTTTCAAGCGAGAACATTCCTGGAGACTTGAGAGTCGGAAGATGTACTCGCTGAGCCAAGTAGGTTGAGAAGCCAAGAGGATGCAAATGTTATTGATTAAGAAGTTCTCTCGTGCAAAGTGCCCAGTGTGGGTTAGATTGACTGGAAAGAATGAGGAATTCCATAGCCAGCATTTTGCTGGCACAAACCTGCTAGTGAGAGCCTTGTCCAGCAAATCCGTGCTTTTGCACGTTTACTTCAACATTGATGCCGAGTGCGTTCGAGACTCCGGCCTCTTCCCCACACACTCATTGCATCCTGCATTGCTGTCTGGCTCTGGCTTTGGCTTTGGCTTTGGAGGGTTCAGCACAGTTTGATGGGAAGGAGCCAAAACCGCTCTACTAAATGGTGGGATCTTGCTCTCCCCTATAATTACGAACCATTGCATCGTGTGCACCAGGAATCGTTCAGACAATTTCAAGAATGCAGGTGATTATTTGTATAATGGAGCAGGGTGGTCTCTGCCTGCCGCATGCTGTGCCCTGTCTTGCTGAATTGACTTGAGATGCCTTTCCGCTGAATTGACTTGGGATGTCTTTCCGCGTAATTTGATTTTTAATTCAGCGCAAGGGGGAGAGGGTGGGATTACCTGGTTAATTTGGCATGCGAGGAAGACCCCAGTCGGGTCATTTGGAAACGAGGGGATGAATGAACGAGTTGCTGTGTTCGCATGTTCTGTGTACAAGGTGTGCGGGTGAGCTTTTCTGAAAACAAAGCTGTTCCATGGTGATTTTGATGTTTGCTCGCAAGCCTACATGCTGCGGTTGAGGGGGGGGGAACAAGTTGGATACCAAATGGGAGGGGGCGCAGAGAGAGAGAGAGATGGAGGAGTTGGGGAGGGGTGGGGGCAGAGAGAGAGACAGAGGAGAGGGTGGGGAGAAGTGCTGTCGAGTGATGTAAATCTTGGGGGCAGATGGTAATATTTTTCAGAGCCAGGTTGAAGGATACCCCCCCCTGTTGTGCAAATTTGTCTTACTGTAGACAAACACATTCTGGTCTTTACTGCACGTGCCAAGCACATTAATCTGGTTACCATGGTTTCAGGCCCTAACTCTCTCTCTGATCCTCTTTTTCTCTCTCACTCTTTCTTGCCCTCTCACTCTCTCTCTTGCCCTCCCTGTGTCTGAATGGAAAAGGTGTTTAGAAAGACCAAGGAAAGGGGGTGGGGAGGTGGGGGAGTTGGATGCTCAGCATCTAATATTGGAGGCAGTCCCTGCAAGGTGATGGGGGTAGTCTTGCCTTGGTTTTAGTCACCATTGAGTTACATTGAGCGAGCACTTGCTTTCCCCATGTCCCCCGCCCTGCCCGCTCCACCATTGGCGGTCAGGCTGACTTCAGCTTTTCTGCCCCCAACCTCTGGAACCCCACCACAGAGTCCTTCCGCCTCCTTCCCCCCCGCCTCCCTCACCCCCCCCGCCTCCCTCACCCACCCACCTAGCGATCCTATCAATCCACTGTGTGTTACTGGTCTCAAATATGATGATGCAGGGCCTTCTTGACTGGTAGGCAAGTCGGAGGATGTCACTGGGCCAGGATTATTTTCTCTTTACCCAACCTCTGAAATCAGCAGAGTGAAACTCATTGTTCAGAAACATGGGCAGAATCCAGCGAATGAATTAACAGCCTTCAATAGAATATAGAATTACATGGCACATAAACAGGCCATTCAGTCTCAACTAGTCTGTGCCGGATAGTTTATTATATTCCATACAAGCCCCAACTCTCCTATTCCCCTCTATTCCATACTTTCTCATGTGTAATAATTCCTTCAAAAAATAAAAATAAATTGGTCACTCAATCCACAACTATTGTGGGATACTGCTCTACTCTATATTCTATTCTATTGAAGGCTGTTTTATATATAAATATATATCTATATATTACACATAAATATATATATTCTGTGAAGTGCTTTGAGACGTCTCGAAGACGTGATAAGGCGCTATATCAAATGCGAGAATTATTTATTATTTCTCTTAAATACATTAATGCTTTTTGCTTAAAAAAGAGTGCCTGGGGTGAGGGGAGGGGTAGGGTAGGATTTCTTTGTAGAGTGATGAAGTGCTGAGCAGTCTGTGGGGAGGAACTGGATTGACCCACTAACCATTCTACGTGCTGTTTGGCAATGACTTGAAATTGGGTTGGTGTCAGTAATATAAAATTCTCTTTAATTAATGACATGGACCGAGCTGGAGTGTATTCTGTAAACACGGTGCAATAAAATGCTCTTGGGCAGGTTGGGCTCTGTACACAAATCATTCTGTCTCAGCTCATTGGGCTTGTTGCACATCCACCTATGATAAGGCTGCGTTAACCTTGACTGTGGCAGATAGTAGCTGTGTCCTCAGGGGTGTGTATCATTGCTTTTAATCCTGCCAGTCATGTAAAGAGCGAATTGCCGGAAGTTTTATACCGTTGGAAAGAGTTCCAAGTCTGGTGTGAAATTGCTGCTTCGCTGGTTGGTTGATGTGGTTCAGAAACTAATTTCCTAAAGGATTTCTTGGTCCAGAGCAGCAGCAAATAGTCTTTGACTCCATCTTCACAACATTTTTCACAAGAATTCAGATGTGTTTTTCCCTTGAAACAAGAAGTTTATTTTATTGTCTGATGGTACTGAACCTCCTGACCTTGGTGACCACCCCGGCCCCCCCCCCCACCCCCAAGCTGGTGCCAGTCAGGGTCCTTTGAATGACGGGGTAGGACTCTTTTCAGCTCCAGATCTCTTTCCAGTGAATTGTGTCTCGTGGCATGTATGTGTGTTTGTGTCTCGTGGGGCGTGCATGTGTGTGCGGCTTAGAGCGTGTACGTGTGGTGTGTACACGTGGGATGGATTTCATGGTGTTTGTGGGGTGGGGGGGTCTCGTGACACATGTGCATCTCGCTGCATGGCATGCGTGTGCATCGCGGGGTGCATCGCGTGTGCATCGTGGGGAGCTAAACATGTAGTCGTAGTATACAGTATACAGTTTGTGGTGCTTTGGGTGAAGGCAGTGATTGGGATAGGATAGAGGTTTGTCTGTGATGTTTTCTTCAAGGTCAAACTGTCTGGGCTGACTTTGCACATGAACATGGCCTCTTGGGCGAGGTAGTGGAGGATGGCCGGTGTCTGAAACCCTTTCCCAGCACGAGTCAGCGCCTTCAGTGAAGAAGGAGAGAAAATTAAAAAATGAATCATTTTTAAAGAGCACGAGCTGACAGGAAGTGTGTTCCATTAACTAGGTTAATAACTTCTTATGTATTGTGTACAGCATCGAGGCATCCATACAGCATAAAGTGCAAGATAGACTAGAGAAGTTGGTATGTGCAGCCTTAACGCTGCATCCTGGTTTAGCAGCTCTGACGTTCGTTGCTTATCTCCCCCAGTTCATTGAAAACTCAGATTTGTGGACAAACCAAATCGAAATTGCTTAATACATCGCTGCAGACGCAGCATTCTTGCTCCCCCGTCGGCTTGAGGTGACAACTGAAGCAGGGAGAACTGACCCTGGGATCGGGGGAGGGGGGAGTGGGGGGGGGACATCGAGAAAAGAAGGAAATTGATTTCCTTCTCTGTCCTGCAAGTTTCAATAGAAAGCAGAGAGGGTCAGGCAGAACAGCGATAACTCAAGACCAAAAGTGGGTGAAAATTGAGCTGCAGTACATTGGCTTCAAGGTGNAAAAAACGAGTTGCGTGTTTCCTCGTTAATAATGCTGATAGAATAATGTCAGCGGCGTGCCAGTTATCAATCTGGTGCACGGGTCTTTCCTGTGGAGCGGAAAAGGGTGGCTGGCAGGAAAATTTACTAAGAACCACTTGGATGAGAAAAGGTGTCCGAGCGTCAAGCTCCAGCTTCATTCCACGCCTTCAGGAGAGGAGCTGAGGGAGAGGTAAGGGAGCTGTGATAGTACTACGTGTGCGAGCTTATCTTTGAGTCTGTGCACTGTGTATTTATATGTGTGCGCGTGGCTTCTGCTGCAGCAACATGACAGCTCTTGGGAACAATGGCTATGGTTAGTTAGCTCAGCACTAAACTGGAATTGAGGGCGGTTAAACCATATAATATATAATAATAATATTAGCATTAGCTACAGCATTAGCAGATCTTTTCCCAACTGAGCCATCGGAGAAGTTCATCCCACATATAGCATCCCATGCCGTGTTTGTCACTTTCTGATTTATTTCTCTATATCTTTGTGGACCATATGAGCCCTGATGTGGATTAATGAAATATCATTCCCAATTGTAAATCTTTGAAAATTCGACTTTGCAGAAAAATATTATTGGGGCAAAGGTTTAGATTTCCAAGGCTACAGTAGATCATGCGAAAGGAGAGTCTCGATGCTTAGCCATAAGTAACTTAACTTTCCATAGTTGCAACAAATATGGTATGCGAGTTGCTAGAATGAAACATTCTATTGAATCATTAATCGTTTTCCCTTCTTAAGAGCAAGTTAAATGTTTGTTGTTCCATTGAAGTGTTTCGCAAAGGGTGTCTTGCACTGCGCTGTATTGTAAACGGTATATTGCAATGTACTTTAAGGTATCTAGAAAGCCTCTTCCAGTGTTCCATCAAGCACTACACCTTGGCTGTGATTAGACATTTGTGAATGTGCTGTGTGCCGGTTTCTTTCTCTGTTGAATCGCTGAACATCTGAATCGAGATGGCAGATAAATCTTCCCTCTGTTTGAAAAGAGTTGCTGTCTGGAAGTTATGGCGATGGGCTGTAAAAGGTTAGTGTCTGGTCCTTGGGGACGGTCTGCCAGTGACCTCAAAGGTGCTCTCCTTCCCGAACAGACCGCTCCTTCCCTGCAAACACTCTGAAAGACCAGGCAAGAGCTGAAAAGCCTAAATAGGCCATCTCTTG